CAGTAATACCCTAGTTTTTGTTGACTTCAGTTATCATCAGTTTCAGTTTTCATTGTTTATTTGGGGGGGTGGAAAATATGTATTGGTTTTTGTCAATGTGCCCTGGATTTCGTCAGCATGTCTCCTGCTAATTTTGCGAAAACATAGGGCGACCCATTTGTTTTCCTGCTCAGTGTGGTGTTGTTTCTTGTTGTTTGAACATTACCCAGTGCATCTAGCAAAACAATTCCATTGCTTTCCTTTCCTTATAGCTCCATCATGAAACCAAAGAAAGTTTCCAGAGCCAGCAGCCCTTTGAATGCCAAGTTAAATGCTATGTTAACGTTCATTTATTCTTTACATTCGTTTTTTATACTCATTTTATATTAATTATTCATTGTTTTTAGTATTAAACACAATATTTATGTTCTATAAAATATGTTTTTGATATGTATTTTGGAGTACGTAGAATGAATTAATTGGATTTACATTGATTCATATGGAAATAATTTGCTTGGTTTTCGTTGGTTTCGGATTTTGTCGATTGTTTTCGGACGGATTATCAACAAAAATCGAGGTATCACTGTAATTCAAATTATTATCAAATTAATATTGCTTGATATTATGTGACAGTTTCTATGGCTTTATAATTATGAATCAGGTGTTGGAAGATGTTTATATTAACAATGATGATAACATTTATAATAATTATAGATAATAAATAAGAAGTAATTTCAGGAAGCCAACATTTTTAAAAAATGTTTTGGGAAAAGTCTGACAATTCACAGCTTCAAATCTTAGATTTAACAGTTTTATACAAATTCAAAATTAGTATTCTGAAAAATTTTAAATTATTCAAGGACCAACTGTTCAGAATACAAATATTGAATTTATTCAGAATTAACTATTAATTTTGAATTTGTTTTAAACTGTTAAACCTACGATTTTAAGCTGTGAATTGTCAGATTTTTATGAGAATCTTAGATCTATTACTATTACCAAAACATTAATTTTTTTAAAAGAAATATTGGCTATCTGAAATTCAATGGTTTTTGTTCATTGATTTATTTACAAGAATTGTACAAAGTTTCAAATCCTTTAATCTTAGATAATGCCATCATTACTGATTTATTATATAAAATTTGATTAAAAAAGCCTGTCACTAAACAAAGGACAATTATGACAATATAAGCTAAAGTGACTAATAATTTTTTTCAGTAATTTTGCTTGCTTAATAATTTTTTACTATATTATGTATAAGTTGTTGTTTATAATATATCCCAATAATTCTGAATTAAATCGATATCCATTAATAAGAGACTTTGGTGTTCAGATACTTAATTTTTCAGTATTAATAACAGTCAGTGTCTTGATAAAATTGTATATTTGTCATCTGCACTAATTACAAATTCATTAAAAGAAACTTATTATTTTATTTTGGATAATATTTTAATCCTAATAAATATATATACAATGCTTGTTGTGTAAAATTGTGCAAAAAGTATTTGAATATTTGATTTTATAATAATCTAACCATCACCTAAGTATTTGGGCTGTAATATGGCTATAAAGAAATAATTAATACAAACAAATTTGGTACTAGAGGTAAGTGTTTGGTGCCATCTCTTATCTAAATTAATAATTAGAATTTTAATAATTTAATAAATAATCTAGAACCTCCTGGAAGAAGAAAACTGACCCAGGGTGGGACTTGTTTTGTTGGTACTATAGATGGCACCTAACGCTTACCTGTAGTACCAAATTTGTTTGTATTAATTATTTGTTTATGGCCATATTACAGCCCAAATATTTAGGTGATCATTGGATTATTTTAGTAATTCATAAGGCTTTGAGATGTGTATTATATATTTGATTTTATGTTGAATTTAACTTTCAATTCTGATTTGAATTCTTATTTTAATTCTGATCAGCAAAATGATCTGATGGACAACTTTTTGTTTTCTGAATTTTTTCAAAAGTAAAAGTAACTTTTGAATAAAATGAGGAGAGAGTTTGTCCTTTTAGATCATTCTTTCAAATTTAACTCTGTAAATTTATATGAGTTTGAAAATATTTGAATATGCTTTTTCTATAGTTATAAAACTTTTGCATTTTGCAACTATAAGATGGAATGTCAATCCCTTTAAGTGAAGTTACAGTATTGTTGATTTATAATAATATCAAAAAAAAAAAAAAAAAACACTGGATGGAAGACAGTTCTAGGCTATGAAACACATTTTATTCCTATCCAGTAATGAGTTTAATATATCAAAAATGTTTTCAACCTATTCAAATATTCTGCAGTTAGGAAACACAGAATTTGAATAAATTAACAGACAAACATATAACCAACATTCAAAATTTAAAAGAACAAAATATAAAATTTGGAAGTTTTAACATAAACCAATAAGAAAATAACTCGCAAAACAATACCAAATGGGGTAAAGCCCCTGTAAAATATTAATTATTAAAGTTTAAATTTCATAATCAAGGAAGACCTATTAATAGATTGAAAACATTTTCAATATGTTGTACTCATTGCTGGATGCTGATGAGGTGTGTTTATAGTAACTCATGGTTGGTTGATATAATTTAAGGCAAAAAAGTTATAAATAATTAAGTCACTTACTAGATTATATCTATATATACTTGTGTTACATTACCATCTTGGTCGCATGAATAATTTGTTACTACTTGCACAAAATTATAATTACATATACATAATAAAATAAGTAAAACTGAAGCAGAGTCAAAGCATTAAAACTATTACACAAATACATCAAATGTTATGTATCAAATTACTTCTTTAAATGCACCCAATATTATTCATTTTTTCGGAGGTAATAAAACAAACGATTGCCGTAATTAATTGGGCTAATTAAGTGCTGTTATTAATGATTAACTGATTATTCTAAATTAATTAATAAATATTATAATTAATAAATTTAATAAGAGATAACGCAATATTTACCTGTAATAGCAAATTATTTAATAGTTAATTATTAATAATAGCACTTAATTACTCTGATTAATTATGGCAATTGTTTGGTTTGTTATTAATACATCAGGCTTAGTGATTATATATATGTCTGAGGTAATATTTGATTGTTTATTTTGAAACATTTTTACTTTAACTTTAGGCCATCTTCAGTATACAAGTAAATGAAAGATAGAACAAAATGGTATTTAAGTTCAAAAGTCCAGACATTTTCAGAGGTGCAGAATATTTTTGGGACCAAAAGTTATTGCATACTAGCATGCAATGAATTATTTATTATTGCTATGCAGTTTGAATAATTTAAACTAAATTGTACAAATAATTAAATAGGTGTACTATATGATTTGCTGTAAATAAACTGTAAAATTAATGTAAAAACTTTTAAAATTAAAATAATGCTATACTTTAAGTATTTGTCGTTGTCATAGGATAGTGTATACAGTTATAAACTTCATATAATATGTTGGTTAATAGAAATGAAACTGAAGTCATCACCAATGCCACAAATTACCTATTTTTAGTGGGGGTTACTAATCCATGGACTTTTTGACATCCAAAAATACATAACTTATGATATCAGTTGCACAGTTTTTCTGAAAAAGTATTTAAGAAATGCATCCATTTTTTGCAAAAATATAAACTATTTAGAATTTTTGACTATTTCATTATTATTTTTTTAACTTTGCTATATTTTTACAATAATGTAATATATATTTCAATGTTAATCTTTTTATTATATAATAAATCTACAAAATATATGAAAAATAGAGGAAATAATGTGTGTAAAATGATAACTTTTATTTTTCCAAATTGCTTTGAATAAATAGCAAAGTTTTTAAATGCAGTTTATCAATTTGCAAATTTTCCTTGAGGAATGTGTGAATATTTTGTTTTAATGCAAGTTAACAAGAAATTTTACCCATTTTAAATGGTTCAAAAAGAGTCTTGAAATGGGAATGGATTTTCTTTTATCTTCTTTTTAAAACACCATTTCGATTTAATTTTTCTGTAAAAATTAAAACTGGGGTTCAGAAAGAGAGACTAACTTGTCTCTTCTGTAAGCACATAACTGTGTGAGTAGGCAGTGATGTAACAAGCTGATACTCACCAGAAACAAAGTAAACAAAGTTTCAATTTTTAAGCCAGACCAACTGCTGTATAAGATTGGGCCAGCTTTCAGTAATTACAATTTTAATTATTAATTGGCCTGATTTTATATGGCAGTTGGTTTGGCTTTATACTAATATATTGGGTTTTGAGAGATGTTTAGTGTTTCAATTTTTTTTTTTAAACACAAGATGTTTGAATTTTGGAGAATGAATTTTAATTAATGTCTGTAGACTTAGCCAAGACTTTACTTCATTTTATTGTAATTTTTTGTTGCTAATGCCATACTATTTTTTCTACCTCAAATTTCCCTAGGACTGCTTTAACTTTCCCCAAATCTTATTTGTGCAGTTGGACATATTCTGCACCTCTGTACATTTTTGAATAATAAACAGTATAAAATATGTAGTGATTTATGTAGTAATAATAATTTATAAGAATATGCTAGTAAGAAAAATGCAAGGTAAGTAATTATGTTAATATATAAATTGAGTGATAAAAAAAAAAATTGAATATATGTAGCATAAGGAATGATTAATAAAATGTATTAAGTTAGTTAAAATATAATTTTCATAGCTTTGAACTATGGTTTTCTCAAAAGTCATCATTTGCATAATTGATGTTTGAGTGCTTTTGTCCAGCAAAATACAATTCAGGATAAATTTCTCATAAATGCTATCCATTATGGATAATTATTTAACATGTGTATTAGTGGTTTCCAAAGTGGTTGCTGCTGCCCCTAGGGAGCGGTGAATAAATCTATAGGTCAAAAAGAAGCAAGGAGATGTTAGAGGCAGGATCATGACTGACTGGTGACTTTATGTGAGGGTTTGGGTTACTTAAAACCTTTTTTTTCCTTCCATTAAAATGGATAAGAAGTAACATTGCATTTAATGGTTTCTGGATGTAGAGAACAATGGATAGTAAGGACACAAAGTGTGAGGTTGGTAAAAATGTGTTTGTAAGAATTTTTTTCAATCCTATCTCACATGACGGAAACTTAGTTGAGGGCATTGGATATAAGTTTAAGGAACTAAGGAGTAGTAGCTGAAAAGTTTGGGAATCACTGATTTACATTAAAACTGTTGCTTAAAGACAATAGCAATATTAAGTTGGAACTTATATTGTAGTTCTTTAAAGGAAGTCACAGGTTAACTAAATTATATTTTTTATTTTGAGAAATGCATTAAAGACAATCCTTTTTTTTGCCCTTCTTCAGTTTTTTTTTTACAAATTTTTTCTATTGTCATTTTTGTGTTACATTCATTATTATATATATTTTAAATATTTAACTTTTTTTTCTTTCATATTACTAAAAATTGTAATATTTATGTTAAATGTTTTATCTTTCATTTTAGTTCTGTTTCTTTTATAGAAGTCAACAAAGTTAATATATATAACAATTGTTTTTTCAGTTAGTTTTTACAGTCTGTTTTGCTTTTATATCTTGTATAAACATTTTATACAAGATATAAAAGCAAGATATAATTTAATGTAAAACATTTTATTTTACATTAAATTATAAAACGTCATGAAACTACAGAATTGTCTGTTTTTTTCCATTGTTACAAACACCAGTGATAGTCCAAAACAATTTTCACAGTACATTTGAGTATTGTATTGTAATTATGATATTTGGCATAATCACCAGAGGATATTTTCCCCATTTTTATTTGAGACTACATCTCCACAAAAAAATACAATACAAAGACCGTCTCCATAAGATTAATTTTCTAGTTTTGTGATATTTTATATTTTAATATAAATGTAAATGCCATTGACCAAGTTTTTAATTTTACTCAAATAAACTTTTTACACATTAAGCACTGTTTTTTTTAAAAGATATTCACACATTTACGAATGTTATCCTGCAGTAATTTAACATTTTATCACTAAAAAGTGTGTTAAAAGATTCTAAATGCACTAAAATTTAAGCTGTGTTTGCATTCTTTTAATTTACTTTTTAAAAATTGTGATTTGAATGTTACATATGCACCACCTGTAGATTACATTTTGAAATGTAAAAAGTACTTGTTTGTAATTATACTTTTCAAGCTAAACAAGTTTAAGTAATTTCTTTTCTTGCGTAGTGGGTTTTTCCAATTATCTATTATTTTTTAGATTGATCATCTGTTTCTTTCTTTAACAAAGTAATATACAGTAGACCCCCCTATAACGCTTAGATACGTTCCACGCTAACCGAAAATTACGTTGTAGGAATGATTAAATACATGAGCCAATCGCAGCCCGATAGGTGGGAACTTTACGGACTAAGGCTGTTCGAAAGGTTTTCTTCTATAAAATTAACCGATTCTAGACTAATTCGACTCAACATTTCCAAAATACGTATAATTTTTTGGGAATAATCTGTATAAACTATGCTATAAACAAAAAATTATAGGATTACTTACCGAGTGTGTACCGTTCGACTACGCCGTTGCTTAAAGCTGGTTTTCATCGCGGAACAGCACACGAAACGACGGCCGCAATTTCTGATAACGAATTTTTGGCAGAAAAATAACTTGACCTTTGGAGACATCATTAATATAAATAATTTTTATGGACGTTGAATAAGAAGTGTTTCTTTCACAAGAAATGTATAAAATTAGTGCTGTATTAGACTTACGGTACCTAATTTACATACTGTACAGACGATAATAAACTCAACTTACTAGCCTAAAATCTCCGTAGCGTGTTGCCAGGCGGCAGAAAGCATATATATAATTATAATAAAGTTACAATAAATTAAGTTAATATATAATTATATATACAGTACCTAATTTATATAATTATATGTACAGTACCTAATTTATATATAATACTAAACAGATGATAGCAAACTCAATTTAGCAGCTCCGTAGCGTGATGCAGGGTCGGAGGAAAGTAGTTCGGCTGCTCATCCACTATTGGTCCAGACTCTATCAATCTTCTCGCGAAATGACGTTATAGGAGGTACGTTATACAAAAGTTGCTACAATTTTTTCGCTACGTTATAGGAATTGTCGTTATAGGAACGTACGTTATAGGGGGGTCGACTGTATATTGTATTTATTTATTTACTTTCTTTCAGAGTATTCTCCTCTATAATAAACTATTTTATCTCATTTAACAGATTATCAAAACAAGATCACCAGAAATCAAATGTTCTTGGTCTATTTAAAGCCAAACAATTGACAAATTAGATTGGGCTATATTGCTCTTACTATTAATAATTAAATGCTAAGTAATTTGGCATAGAGGTAGATGTGAGATGCCACTTATTAAATTTAGTAATTAAAAATAATAATAATTAATTAATTAGAAGCTTCTGGAAGAAAAAATAGGCCCAGAGTGAGACTCGAATATACAACTGCACCATACTGTGTGGATGCATTGCCAGTTACACTATCCAGATCTTCATCTGATTTTCACTTTCAGAAATATTAATTTAGATATATCATATTTACTCGAATATAAGACGACATCTTGTATAGGACAGTGTGACTTTAAAGATCACAATAAAGAAAATTAGATTTAGTAATACAATTCTAATTTTATTTCGTGTAATCACAAGTAAAATATCAAATGAATGTAAATGCACAAATTTTTCCTGCAAAAAATTACTGGCGTTTTAAACTTTAATGAAAAATCTTGTAAAATCGATAACATAATTTGTTCATGGAAATCTGGACAGTTGGGAACCTTTTATTTTTTTTTCGCTAATTTTTAACAATTGAATCTGTTCTCTGTTGATTACACTTATGAGTTTCTCTGAATTCTGATTTTTGAATAATCATCTTTTTTTGCATGGGAATGGATTAAATCTTATATCATGCTCCCATGTGATTTTGGAATTTCAATCTGGAATTCAATTCATAAGTTTTGCTTCTCCTATTGCTATTCATCTTTACTTTCAATAATACACAAGAATGATTCAAACGACCCAGATAAAATACTTGTGTCTTTAAATACCAGAGGGTAAGCATTCGGTAAAAAATGCGAATACACAGTTCACAAAAATTATTTGCAAAAATGCAAAGTATCTTTTGCTCACGCATATAAAACCTATGAATTTGGAGCTGTGATAAATGAATAAAAACCTCGTCTTATATGTGAGTAAATACGGTAATTATACTTGTCACAGTATCTTCCAGAACCTTCTAAATTAATTAACAAATATTGATTTCATTTTAATTATTAAGTTTAATAAGAGATGGTGCCTAATGCTTACGTCCAGGCCATATTACTTAACACTTAATTATTAATAGTAGCAGTAATATTGCCTGATCTAATTAAGCAATTGTTTGGCATTAATTATCTAGTTTAGAGACGTTCATATTTGTATTTAGTCTATAGTCCATTATCAGGATATACTCCATTATCAGGATATACTCCAATTTAAAAACAGCAATATGCGTTTCTTTTTATGGTATGGAGATAGTTGTAAAGCATGCCATAAGCTATGCTTATGTAAGCTGAATGTTAGTTGTTATCTTATTATCTTATTGTCATGCAGAGTCATTCAATAGTCATGTAACAGCTTATTAGCAAGATATTTTGAGATTTTCGTACTATCTTGTAAATTTACTCTTGCTATAATTTGGTCAAACCTTGCTGTTGTAATTGGTTTTTTCCACTTTTTTGACTATTTTTGATTTTTTTAAATGGTATTGAGAAGCTTGTTACTCAATACCATTTTAATGTTGTTTGTACTACTACATGTTGTAAACATTTCACATGTTTCACAGTTGAGACTTTTCCTGCCAATGCAAAAGTACAATCTGCCCATGCTCTGTTTTTATTAATTTTTGAGTCTTAGGAATTATTTGCTATTTTACATTATTACAGTCATGAATAGTTCTTATGCTTGTATTACAACACTTTTTTTTTTTTTTTCATTATATCTGATGCATATGACATTCATTAAGTATGGTTATTCAATTTTGTTATTTAAAAGAGAAGAATAAATTGATACAAAACTTTTAAAAATGTTTCTAAAAATTTTATGTTTTAAGTTTTGTATTCCATTCAATTAATGCCATTTCATTTCTGTACTTTAAAATTTGTTCTGAAAAAGCATTCAATTTGAGTTATTGCCTGAAGGCAATGCTTATAGGAATGTCGAAAGCACTTACAAAGAATTAAAAGCTCTTTAACGCCATTTTTTGTCAATTTATTCTTCTCTTATAAGTACATATGTTAGCGTGACATCCAAGCTATGTTTTTATGTTATTTCACATTGTGTTATATTTTTCACTGCCATTTTATTGAATTTTTTGTTAAATTATGTTAATGAAGTATAATTGACATATTATTACTACCTATTTGTGTACCATCTTAAAACTTTTAATAATAATTTATCTATTTTCTAAGGTGCCTCTAATATATCCAACAAAGACTATAGTGTATAGAAATTTAAAATAAAACTATAAATCTTCAATGTTTACTTGAATATATTGTGTTAAATTATAATTTCAGTTTTTGTAATATAAGAATTATTAAACATAATTATGTATTTGATTTAAAGTACTTCATATGGCCTAAATCCATTTTATATTTATAGGTAGAAAAACTAAATAAATCTCAAGATCTGAAGAATCTATCTGATGTAGAATTTTTAAATTTATTAGAAGAAGCTTCAACTTTCAACAAACCAAGTAACGAAGCAAGTGATTTATTACAACAGTTAAGAAATGAAATTGCTGAAAAAGACTCTTGTGAGAATGTTGAAAAAACTGAATCTTCTCATGATGGAAATTGTGCATCTTTAATTTATGGACAAAATAGAAATTTAAAACATGCATTTACAAAAGGACGTGATTCATGTGGAATGGACATATTATTACCAAATACACTTAACAATGAAAAAGATATAAACTGTATTATACAAAGATCTTTAGATAGTACTGGAAGAAACCAAAGTGTATTTATAAATAAAAATAAAGATAATTCCATTATTAAAGGAATTAATCATAGTGATAGGTTAGGAAAAACTGTAATTCAATCGCAATCATTACAAGATTTAGCAAATAATAAATCGGATAGTGTAGAATCTATAAGAAATGCAGGAATTAGTCAAGGAATGCCTAACTTACAAAAATCTCAATGTGCCTCATCATTTGCTTCATCAGAAGGTTCAGAACATGCTGCCCTGTTACAAGTAAGTGTTTTGGAATCAGTTAGAACTTCTTTAAAAGATGCTAAAACATCTTTTGGTAAGTTTCAACAAACTTCTTTGTCTGCTGGTAGTGCTTCCTTGGATAAAGATGGATCACATGTGAATATTTTGAAAAGAAACATTACTTCTCATGCTTTAGTAAACTGTGCGACTTTAAATGTTTGTGAAGTTCTTAATTCTAGTCCAGAAAGAACATGCAATAGTCAAAAAGTGTTTTCAACAGACGAGTCATCTTGTGATAGTTCTTACAACAAGTTTAACGCAGCATCTTCAAATACAAATACTGATTTGCATAATTTAAGAGAATTTAATGAACAAAGTGAAATAGTGTCTCCATTAGAATTAGAATTAAAAGAAATTAAAGTGAGGAATAAAAGTGAAAATGATCATGTATCTGAAAAAATGATTGAAAACATGTATCATCAAAGGAGAAGTGATAACAAAACATATAAAGATAATACGGAAGTTGATGTATCTGTTGGTTTTCCATTAACGGTAAGTAATTAATTTATTCATGAAAGAAATACATTATTGTGAGAATTGTGTTTGAAAATTTCCACAAATTTAAATAAAAACAAAATTAAGTGCTTTAATCATACATATTTCACAACAAAATTTGGTTGAAATATGTTCAGATGTTTTATCTGCTTCAGAAATCCAGAAAAATGTTTTAATATCAATACCGTAGTAACATGTTATAAATAGCTAAGTTATTATGGAAACAACAGAAGGGTGAAATTGTTTAACGAAGAATTCTACATATAAATACTTTAAAATACAAAATAAAATTGAATTAGCAGTAAAATAAATTACTAACCCTAACTCAAACTTGTCATATATGCAACAAATAACATACCAACACAGCAAGAAACAGTAAAAAAATTGTTTTATGATGATGATTGTTGTAGACGAAAGAAAATGCTCAGCATAAAATATTTTTTACTGGTTTCTTGGCATATTCATATGATGTTAAAATAAATTAACTGAGAACAGCATACCCAGGCAAAATACATATAACTGCATAAATTCAAAATCAACTTAAATTGTGGTTTATTTGAACTGATATTAATTTATAAACACTGAAACGTTAATATGGTATTTTATAATACTTGTTCTTGTTCATAATTCTGAACCTAATTTGGTTTTATGCACAGCTTGCACATAATGGCCCAATGGCCATGACACACAGGTTAGGCACACATCATACAGATGAACAGTTATCTTGTCTTTTTATGTATATATACATACAGGGTTCCTATGCACCTTGGAAGGTCAGGGATTTTGATTAGTGTTTGGAAAAAGTCATGGAAAGTCAGGGAATATGTCTCCTTAGCTGCCTTGTTGTTTTCGTTTGCTGACCAAGTGTAGCCATCTGCAGGTGGCATGAAGCTGCAATCTTTAATAAGAAAATATACCAGAATCTGCTAATAAAACACATCTTTAATAATCCAGCTAATAAAAATTATTAATGTAAAAACGTTTTCTATCGTTTCTTAACAATCTTCTTCAGTTACCATAACATAGAATAAAATCGAACACAAAAAAGAATGTAAATACGAAATTAAAATATAAATAACGGAAAAGTAGCTGTGTTGATAAAATAAATGAAAAATATAAATCAATCCAAAAAAATGTCCCTTAACAAAAATAAAAATAAATAAAGTCATTAATTCTTGTAAAAGGATCGCCATGTGGTAGGTAAAGAGTCTGCACCTCTATGGTTGATGCAACCAGTTTTCTTGTGTGCCTTAAAGATCTCTAATTTCTCTAGATATTTCATAGTATGTAAATTTGTCGTAGGTTTAATTATTTCAGCCCGATCCCAATGGACTTGAATGTCGTGTTGTGTTGCGTAAGATGATAGCACGGTGTTGTCAAGTTTCTTATTAATCGTATATTTATGCTCTTTGATACGTTGCTGCAAGTTGCGCATTGTTGCGCCTAGGTAGACAAGATCTGAATTAAAACACTGAACATGTAATGGTATAGAACCAGGGTGGCCAAGCTCCTTGTTAGTCCGAGCTATTTTTCAAAATTTGAAATTTTTCGCGAGCCGCAATTAAATACATATTAAAAAGGTATGCAAAAAATTCCAGATTACAAATTATATCCATAGCAAGAGTGATACAAATTGTTTCCTCCAGAGCACAATGTCAACTGTCCGTTGCAATGACAGTGTAGAAATTCAAAATCGGTCTGGAGTCGGTCGATAACGGACGATTGCGCCGCCACTGTTTATGTTCATTTGCGCAGTTTTTGATGAGTCATATCATTCTTAACTTGGACGGAAATGAAATTTGTTACAACGTTGCACTTAGTCTTTCATATTTGTTGTTAGTAATTTAAAAGACATTTTGAAACACATACGGAACGATAATAATTTTTAAAATATAATAATACAAAAATGAAAAGGTTACTCGGGTACGTTTATCGAGAGCCACAAATAATCCTTCAAAGAGCCACATGTGGCTCGCGAGCCGCAGGTTGGCCACCCCTGGTATAGAATATACCATTCTAAAATGCTGATCGTGTAATGGTATAGAATATACCATTCTATACCATTACACGATCAACATTTTAATTCAGATCTTGTCTACGTAGGCGCAACAATGCCCAACTTGCAGCAACGTATCAAAGAGCATAAATATACGATTAATATAAAACTTGCAACACCGTGCTATCATCTTACGCAGCACAACACGACATTCAAGTCCATTGGGATCGGGCTGAAATAATTAAACCTACGACAATTTTACATACTATGAAATATCTGGAGAAATTAGAGATCTTTAAGGCACACAAGAAAACTGGTTGCATCAACCATAGAGGTGCGGACTCTTTACCTACCACAAGGCCGATCCTTTTACAAGAATTAATGACTTTATTTATTTTTGTTAAGGGACATTTTTTTTGGATTGATTTATATTTTTCGTTTATTTTATCAACACAGCTACTTTTCCGTTATTTATATTTTAATTTCGTATTTACATTCTTTTTTGTGTTCAATTTTATTCTATGTTATGGTAACTGAAGAAGATTGTTAAGAAACGATCGAAAACGTTTTTACATTATTAATTTTTATTAGCTGGATTATTAAAGGTGTGTTTTATTAGTAGTATATTTATCCAGTTTGTTTGTTATATAAGTATACCAGAATCTATCTTGAAATGGCTTTTTTCACCCTTCTGAAGCCATATAATTTTACAGTTGTGGATTAATAACAGGATAAACTACTTTTATGTAAGTGTTTAATTTTTAATTTTAATAATTCAACAATTATAAGAATAAAAAATAACTAACTAATAATTTAGAATAAAAATAAACAAATACTTTAGAATTAAAATAATTAGAATAAAAAATAACTAACTAAAAATTTGTTGGCAAAATTTTAAAAGTTGAAATTGTAATTTATTAGAATGTTTACTCCAAAATAGCTAAATAGTTTAGCAAAAATCTGTAAATTAATTGTTTTTTACATTTAAAACATTACTACACAACATAAAAAATTATAAATAGTTACCCGACATTTACAGTAAAATGCTGACACAAACTTGTGGTTGGCACGAGCTTTTTACATTTTTGTTACAATTTTTCTTGAAAGTAATGTACTGCAAGTGTATTTTCCCCCTCTCTTCCATTAATTTCTACAACTTTGATACATAGTTTAATAATTAGTTTAACAGAAATGATGTTGGGTAACAAATATCATTAATTTCAGCAAATTTAGGGCTTAAAAACTGGCAACATTGATCATACCTGTAACAGATATATTATAGTTATAGTTTTGAAAATTAACTAGGTAATCCAATAGTTTAACCAAAGTTAACTTGCTTATAATTAAAATTTAAAAAGCTGGTAAATTTTAAAAATTTAATTAAATTACTAAAAAATTAAAATAAATTTGATTATGTAGTGTGCGAAACAGCACCATTTGAAAAGTCTGCTACTATCTCTAGATCAGATGCGTAAGTGGGTAAGGAAGTGGAACATTTATTATGTTGAATGTCACGCATGTGTTCTTTCAACCTGATCCCAACAGTACGTTTCATTGAGCCTATGTAAATTAAGTCCTTGCCAAAACGATGGTCCCTACGTGGTACTCTAGCAGAGCTCCTCAGGGACACTGAACATCCTAGCTTTATCAGAGTCCTGGATTTCTGCTCACTGTACCCTTCAATCGAGATTCTTCCTTGTTTTTGCAACATCAGAGACTTACTGTTTACAATCTTATGCAATGAAGAGTTCCATCAACAAGTTTTAGAGTTGTCCCACTTGATTTGTTACAGCTTGATCTTTCAATTCGGCAGAGTTATGTACAGGCAGAGTAAAGGGGTCCCCATGAGCAGTTCTGTTTCTGGGGATCTTTGTGAGTTAGTAATCAGACGATTGGAGAATACAATACTTCCAAATTTCCTCTAAAACATTATAATTTACAAATGCTACATTGACGATATCATCATTCTCTGGAGAGACTCTCCGAACATTACCCGATTTTTGGGTCAAATTAACAACAACCCCTACGGTCTTACCCTGGATGTCGAGCATCAGAGCAACTCATTGGTGCATTTTCTGGATTTGAATATTGGCTTTGGAGGACAAATCATACACATCTCTGTGTACTGCAAACTATCAGACCATTCAACATATATCTTGGCAGACTCTTATGACTCTGTCCAATACAAGATGGCAGCGTTTAGAGCCCTAGTTAAAAGGGCCCACTCACACTCTTCTACTCAAGGGGCTTTAGGAACTGTAATACCTATGTGAAGTGGCCAAACACCATGGCTACCACAACATCATACAAAAAATGTCACAATTGTTCGGAGGAATGATGGCTCCTTCTAATAGAGTTAATTCGATAAATGGCAACCAGAACGAGGATAAGCAGAGGGTGTCGATTACCTACAACCCACTATGGAAATAATTATATAGTAGAATCACATGGCAGAGGGGTATCTCCCTTGCCTTCAGATGCCCATCTATATTTGATATTCTATGCAATGGAAAGGACAAGTCTAAGGAGGAAAGACTGCTGGGGATATATAGTGTACCACTTAGGGACCACTGTTTTGGCAAGGACTTAATATACATAGGGTCAACTAAACGTGCCGTTGGGATCAGGTTGAAAGAACACGTGTGTGACATTCAACATAATAAATGTTCCACTTCCTTATCCACTTATGCATCTGATCTAGAGATAGTAGCAGACTTTTTAAATGTTAATTATCACCTCCTCATATTTAGACCATCTCAAATGGTTGGAGCAGATAGAGATATACAGGGCATACAGCACTTCGTCACCCATTAATTCCAGAGATGATATCTTTCTTTCTTTGGCATGGCAGGCCCTAATACAGCAGGAGGATTAAGTGAATTGTAAACTCGTAAACCTAAAGAGAAGGGAAGTAAAGGGGTAGTCTGTGTTTATGTGATGTTTTTTATGCTTAACAACAAAGACCTTCATAAAATCTTTAAAAAAAAAAAGGAAATATTTA